CATGGAAAGCACATAGGAAAACCAACCAGGAAACCCAAAAATACGAAGCCAACAACACGAAAATCACATTGGGGCCTAGAGCCAGTTTTTGTCGCAACAAGGCTCACAAAGACAAAGAACCAACAGTCTAAAATCACATTGAGGCTTAAGGCCAGTATTTTAGCAACAAGGCTCGCAAAGACAAAGAACCAAGAGTAACCCAAAAAGGATGGAAAGCACCTGACGCACAAAGAGCACACCATTAGTGAACTTGGCCATTTAGAAGAACCGCGCCCGCTCGCTTCTTGCTTTCCGTTGCTTGCCAGACTGGTTTGCAGACCAGTTGGGGTGGTTCAAAGGGTGCCAATGTAGGTCTAGATTCCATACAGTGGTTTCAGAGGCTCGATGGCGCAACCCCAAAGAATTACTTTTAGATGGGGGTCCATATTGACCATTTTATGGGGGGATTGTGCCATCTACGGTGCTGTTGATTTGCCAGCCAGTGGCATGAGGGCTCCGTCAACGACCTTACGGGATACCATCAAACCATATCAAACCGTGTCAAACCTATGCCTAGGGCGTGTCTCATCATCAGAAACAGTGGGTGAAAGACGTCGTATCGCTCCGCTGAGCTAGTATCACTATGGCCCATTTTAGTGGAAAGGTCGTTGCTACCCATCACGGGAACCATGTCCCACGTCCATGCCATTGGTTCTCCCTGGACGTGTCATGTTGAACACCGGACGGAGGTCTCCCTGGACGGAAGGATTGGTCGCGCACTGAGGGGAGGAAGGGTGGGTTGGCGGTTGAAGCCCTACCCTCTCAGAAGGTCGGAGCCTCCTGGTGCCTACATAGATAGTCTCCAATCACCTTCTCAGAAGGTATGTGGATCCCACAGGGCAGGAGGATTTACGATGTGTCGCCATGCTCGTTGACCGCCAAACACAGCGGAGAAGGCGAATCAGACCACCACACGATCATACCCTAGGGCTCCAGCCAGATCCTCAGGTTTGGTGGGCACAGACCCCTGGCACCCACCCTCACCACCGAACCGAAACGCAGGCAGGCCAGGAGCCCACGTTTGGGATCAGTCCGTGGGTCGAGACCGACCGGTGGGTCCCTGAGAAAGCATCCCACCGGATGTTCAGTTGGTTGACCTACCTGGAAGGTCAAGCTAGATGGTGGACCAGGGCCCTACCTGGAGGTCAAACGAGCTTTGAGCTGAGTCCGTGCGACCTTGCTGAGTCAGAGCTCCCAAGGCATCCGCTCCCCTGCCCATCCCGTAAGCCTCGTGTTTCTTTGTCTTCGGCTCAACACCCTCATGAAAACTCGGGCTCAAGCGTTGTGCTACCACATGTGATGTTCATTGGAATTCCAGAGCTGCACTCCCTGGAACTAACACAAAACTAAAGAATGGCATGGAAGACTGACGACCATTTTCGTCTATAGCTACAAGGAGGGGGTTGAACTCCACTTCCATGTTAGCTCCATGCGATTCCCACAGGAAGTGCCAGCTGACCATTGACATCTATGTATGTTTGATGTTTTGGGTCGTTCAACCTGGAGCCCGGCCAGTCCACCATATATATATATATATAGCTTGTATGCCGGTGCCATGACCAAGTCAGAAGAGGCATCGTTCGTTGATGGGTGTTTACCCTCTTCGTGCGCTTTTGCACCTTTCTCCGGCTTCAGCTTTTTACCAAACAAATCCGGGTGAAAAATGGAACACATACTGTGCCGATGTCATCCCGTCCTGAATGTCGCCCCGAGGTTTCTCGCAGTTTTGTGCCTTTTGGGCGGTCATCACCAATGCCCCGAAGAAGCTCAATTACCGAGAGCCACCGGGCACAGACATTTCTTGGACGAAGTCAAGAAACAAGAGGAGAGGATCAAAAGGATCAGATGTATCATGATCTTTCAAGAATGCCACCATCGAAAGGGCGCCTAAAATGCTACCAAGGGTCAGGGTCTAGAGTTTACACTTATAGATGGTGTTGATTGGGTACTTTGGGCAGAGAACGGTCTTTATTGACCGCCGGCCCTTGAGGGCTGCAATCCGTGTCAATCCACTGGGCCATACCGCAACAGAGATGTCTTTCTCCTGGGCTGTTTGACCCGTGAAACGGGCTCCGTCCCTGGTCTAAGAGTGGGGACCAGGATCGGAGGCCCCTGGTGAGGAGTGCTTGGTTCTTTGGGGAAGCATCCCTTACACATCCAAAGACCCAGTAAAACCTGTCGTTTACTTTAGTGAAGGCTGTTTCTGTATGACCAGGCGTCTATATAAACAAGTCCTGCTCCTCTTAGGATCCATTTGTTTCTGCTTGGGACGGAATTTTTCAGGGACCTGGGCCCTCCTTGAAGTACCTGCGTCGCGACACCGGAACCCGGGGCCACCAAAAGACCGTCTCGCTGCGGCACGGTGATCTCGCCCAAACAGGAGGCATGTGAAGCTACGCCAAGGTACTTAAGCTACGCGGAGGTGCGGCAATGCCGGGCGATCTTCGAGGTCTGCGCGCGGCACGCGCGCCGGGCGCGCCCGTCGTGCTTTCGAGTTTGAAGAAAGGATCGTGGGAGATCCTTCGTGGGGGGCAATTCCTAGATGCCACCAGCCTGGTCTTCATGGATCATCATGCAGTCGCTCATCTAAGCCCGGTAGTGGTAGATTATGACTTCCAAATGGGGCAACATGCATCATTAGTTCTATATGAAGTTCTCAAAGGCTTGGAGGGGAGTTGGAGGGATTCTGCTGGGGTGCAGACAATATGGATTTAGTTCTTGCGGGTCGGTCGACCACACGGGTTTCAAAGTGAAGGACCTTCTTGAGGTTGAGCTTATACAAACGTAGAGGAGTAAGAACCGATCTGATCCCCTTCTTTTCCTACTGCATCATCTTCAATCATTTTTGGCCTAGGTAGGCTTCTCATGACTTAAATGTGTGCGTTTTGATGGATTTCTTCCCATCATGCTCCGCTTGGATTTCTCATGGACTGCTGAGTCCCTGTGGGTCTTTTGCAGTTTGCCACAATACGCCGATGGAGGATCCATGCAACCCCCACCCCAACAAACATGCAAGTGGACAATTCCCCTGTTCGTAGAGATGAATGGTCTTTCCAGGGGCCATGCCATCCACTTCCATGATTGTTTCGGTGAGGGTAGTCATCAGGGTGACGTGATGTGCGAAGACGGCCACCCAAGAAACACTCTTCATTGGGTCTTGCCCCACACTGTTTTACCCAGGTAACAAGCGGAGCTCCTGCATACATCGACACCAATTCTACTGAGTTGGGTCGCAAGGATTAAGGTTTGTAAATTAGACATAGTTAGACTTTATATTTAAATGTTGATCCTTCAATCAAGTCCTTGTATATGTGTATGATATATGTATGTGTTTCTTTGTGGGGTCAGTTTTTCTGGGCACGTAGTGCTTTGGAGATCCCCCCAACTCCGGAACTGCACCCAGCTCCCTCAGGAGGCAGCGGGGGAGAAGAAAGAGCTTTCCCGGAAGCAGGTACCACCAGCCCCGGGAGGGTGGTGAAGCATTGCCAGCAATACGGTCTTTGCGATTAGGTCCTTTCTTCAGGGCTCAAGAACCAGACTTGATGATGCATTCGTGTGCAATGTTGGCCAGAAAGGTAGAAGTGAAACCAGGCAGAGAGCATTGAGAATGAGGCTGTGCCGACGCCAGGATGTAATTTTTGCGCATTTGGTTCATGCATCATGGATCCGGACCTGGAGCTCGCTCTGAACCATCCCAGTTTTGCATGCGAGTGGTGTAGGATTTAAACAGAAATGTTATTAGTATTTGCTGTTTCCCCAGCATGTTTTGCTGCTGGAATGGGCTGGACGTTATTTTGCGTTCTTCCGTGCCAAGAAAGTGGTTTGTGAGTTGGGTTTCAACCGATGGATCCCAGGCATCGTTTGCCTGAAGACGCCCTTAAAGATACTGTCTGAAGATCATTGGCAGAAAGTGGGGATACCCACTGGGATTTGGTCCTTTTCAACCGCCTCTGATCAGCAAATATGCCAGTCCTGTGTCTGTGAGCCTTGGAATGATTGAACTGACCTCTACCCCACTGACCAATGTTTTTCATGTGAGTTGACACCACCTAACCGGGTGAACATGTCCTGCGGAGTCAGCTCGGACAGGTCCAGGAGCTCTTGAAGGAGAAGAACTTCGTCCGCGCGAAGCGTCACTTGGGGCGGATTTTGGACTCCTTCGGCCTCGACAAGAAGGGCGTGCTGGCTGCTGGGCTCATCCAGAGTTCTTGTGTTTTTCTTCAAACCGCATGGGCAAGACGCCCTCATCTAAGGGTTTCGACACCTTGAGACACCTTGCGTGAGGATTCGAAGACCTTGAGACACACAGGAACATGGGGTCTCCAGCACCGGTTTGGGGACCAAAGCCGGGCGCGCACCCATTGGAGACCAAAGCCGGGCGCTGCACTTCCAGTTTTGTGCAGAAATCTGGTCCGTCAGCGGCCTGAGAGATCTTTTGTGAAGAGTTGGAAGATATATGCAAAGGCTGGAAGGGTGAGCTTGAAGGACGCTCATGAATATTGGGCCGCGCTTTTTGAGGGAGCAGAGGGATTGGTCAGTTGTTTGGTTTGATCAGCGAAAAGTAGTGAAAGTAGAGGCAGGCAGGCGCCAATAGAGAGAGGTGGAGAGATTATTCTCCGAGGATCCACAATGAAATGATTCAATGGATTGACTCCAATTTAGGAACTGCCCAACATTGACCAATCAAGTGAACATGATGTCCTTCTGATCAATCCATACATTGACCTTTAAGTCATTTGGGCATGCTGGGGCTGGTACCAATGCATGGGCTGGGGATTGTTCGGGGATGCTTAGCTTTGCCTTTTTGGAGGTGTATGAGTTGAGCTAACGGCGCTCCAAACGAATAGACCAACTCTGTGAAGGATGTCTATATAAATACTTTCGGCTCCTTGCTGCCTTAGAAGGAGGAGACTCACCATGCTTAAATATGCTTAACACTTCGATCCTCCTCCTTACGTGGTGCTGCGCATGGCATTCTGGCCTTTAAAAACGTCCAGCATGTGTTTTTCCCTTTGGCTTCTCGCTGCACACCTGAGCCAAGCTATCCCTCTTAAAACCTTAGAAAGTTGAGCCAGGCTTCCCCTCATCCCCCCAAAAACCAAGCTATCCCTCGACTCCCCGCGGACTCCTAGGACTTCCAGCTTTTTTGCAACGTCATCGTGAAGCTCTCCCTACGGCGCAAGCTTTGGGAACTCTCGCCCGAGCAACCTGGCATCATTGTGTTGCTTTTGGGCCACCGGCGAGTCCGCGAGGGCCAAGAGCTGGTGAGGATGATGGCAATCTGCATGTCTCAAAAACAAACAAGAACACCAGCTTGTCGTGCGTAGCAGAGTTTGGGAGTTTGTCTTGGAGGTTTGCTTCACCCACCTCCTGCGCCGTTGTCGAGTCATGGGTAGGGCTGACATGGCACCTGGCACTGGAGAAACGACCCTACGCAGATGTTTCTTTGCAAAGCCAGTGGTTGACTGCTTGCATGTGCACGTCGTGGGCTGCACTACATTCTTGCCAGATCCAAACCTTCCAGGGCATTTCAATGATTAATGATCTCAGAAGAGTGTAGCTTTCATCAAACAGCCATCCTGCAAGCAGACGCCAGCCTAGCCCTCCAAGAATCTCATGCAACTCCACACTGTTTGAAAAATGCTCGATCGCATCCGGCGCTCTGGGAACCCACACCCCCAGGACAGTGGACTGCGCCCAGCTTTGGCGCGATGGCTTCACAGTGTCTGAGCTCCAGATGCCGCCTGGACTGCAAGGCGGAGGTCGCCACGTGCCAGGACCCCGCAGGGCGCTCATTCCCAGTGCCAATAATAAGCACCTAAGCACGGAATTGAGATGAGTTGTTCAATGTTGTTCATATGATCCGAGGATCCTACTGAGATTGTTGGATTGTTATTAATTGCTGTGGTATTTGCATGACGGAATAGCATAATACGGTCAACTTCCATATATCGATTATGGAATTCATTAACCTCAGAGTTTGCAACATGAAATTGTATACAGTAAGGTGACCTGCTAGGGGCTCCTGGCCTTACTACTAGGAGCAAGGACGCTACTAGGGGCTCCTGGCATCGCTACTAGTAGCAAGAAGCTACTAGGGGCTCCTGGCCTTACTTCATTGTTTGGGTGATGTAGACCTTTGGCCTCATGTGGCCTCATGGAGTGGAACATGTTGTTCCCAAAGGCATTCAAGATCTAACCCTATCGAGGACAAATCAATGATATCCAAGGGCAAAGGGCATGAAATTCCTGACGAACCTTTTCCGTGTGGGCTGTCTTAGGCAGTGATCATGGCTCTGGGTGAACAAGCCAAAACCGTGATCGAAGTCCTTCGCTGGATTGTCACCGAACTCTTGGGGAATACTTGAAACCAGAACCCGGTGGAGTGCGTTCGGCTCAGAGTTTCCAAGAGAGCTCATTTCGGCTCACCAGTTACCGTGACCTGAACTAGCACCCCAGTGGTATCCAACCTTGGGATCGTCTAGGTTCTTCAACCTCTGGTTTCGCTTCACCTGGAGTTTCCACCATCGGGAGGCTGCTCCGGGCCACGCGGTCAGTCGCAGGCGCCATCGACGCGAAGCTTCGCTGCACCGTTCGCCTGCAGGTCCGGCTTCGGGCTCCGCGACTTCGGCGCGGTGCGGGTCCCGGCGCGGAAGCTCTACCAGGAGAGGGCGGCTGGAAGCAGAGGAGACGTGCAATCAGCAGTGGTTTTGGGTTCCTCAGATGGTTTCCTTCAAAGATCAATGATCGACCTGGACTCGCTGGACCCAAAAGACTCGACATGGGTGGGGTCATGTGGGATCTACATGGATCTACTCGAATTCGGTATTCTTACACTACAGAGGTCATCCTCAGAATCACTCGTTGCTTGGAGCCTTTCACCGCTGCTTTTTGATCAGTTTTACCGAGATATCAAGATGCCCATTGGAGGAGGTGAGTCCGTCTCCTAAACCATTCAACTGCTGTCATGAAAGCTCAGCGTCCAGACACCAACGGCTCAGTCTTCACCAAGTCTTGTGCTTCTTGACGAGGGCCTAGTTCCAGAAATCGTCGGAAGTTGAGCCAAGTCACAGGGGTGGGCTCCAACCATATCCTCAGAAGGTAGCTAGACCCCCCTTGGGTCCCACTCTAACCACCTCAGAAGGCAATTGGAGCCCTATAGGTACATTAGGGTGACTTAGGCTGAATCAATAGGGATCGTGGAGTGAAGGTAGATGTCCTCACACGTGCCAGGAGGGAAAGTACTCTGCCTTAGATCTTCGACGTGCAGGCAGACGTTTGAGTGCTGCGGAAGCCTCGGACTTTTCAGTGGTCTACAGGGCCTTCGACAAAACACATCAAAACACTCAATCCAAGTTCTGTTGAAAATTGGAAAGAAATCCCTCTTCTCTTTGCTTCAAACATGATGTAGGACTTGATGCATGCGGAACATGCTTTCGGCTGCAGAAAGGGTCTGGAAGACTTTGGAACGAACCCTAATGTTACTGAGCGCAAAGAGGTTCTTCGCGTGGTGGGAAATGAGAATGAGGGGACGACCTGAGTCTAAATTGGCAAGACTTCCTTAAGAAAGGTTAATTTGCCGCGGTTTCAGGTACGTCTGGAGACTGAGACTGTTACTTAGACAGAGCCAGGACCAAACGGAATCATTTCGAGCCAAAGAAGACTGTGCCAAACGGGGCCGCGGGAGGGCACCTAGATGAAAACATAAAAACAGAACAGGACCCAAAAACAAGCAAAGAGAACACCGAATCCAAAAGAATGGTCCTGAGTAGGTCTCCTCGTCCCCTGGAGTAGGTCCTGAAGGTCCTTTTCCTGGTCCACTGGCCTCGTGGTCAGTTGGTCAAAAAGTGGGAGGTCAACGCAAAGTTCCCTACAGATCCAGTCGTACCTTCTCAGAAGGTACGACTGGACCCTCCAAACCTACATAGCGGTGTCTCCAATCACCTGCTGAGAAGGCACTTGGATCCCGAGATTCTTCATATGCGCGAATTTGGCACGATCTTTCCAAAACAACTAAAACACTATCCGGTTGCCTGGGTCCTTGTGTCACTTTCAGGGTGCCCTTCATTGATGGGGCAATGGCGTGCGTATATATGGGTGTGTAGTTTTCGATGATGATCTAATTTGTGGTGCCTGGGTCTGGTGGCTTTGATGGTTTTCTATCTCTGAGGAGAGGCGCTGCGTGCGCCACCCCAACCCCCCTCCAACGCTGTTTGCAAATGCACCGCGCCTGCCATGACCGGTTGTTTCAAGGTGATCCCCATCGCGTCTCCAGACCACCTAAGTCCCATGTCCTCGGGCTTAGTCCCATGTCGATGTATTGCCTTCCATCCCTTCATGGTCCGGTGGGTGATAGAGCCCACCTTTGCTGTGTCGTTCTCCTATGTGTTTTTTGTGTTTTGCTTTGCTGCCGGGCTGCCTGATCCTTTGTTGCCCTGCTGTTGTCCTTTCCCTAGTCTCTTTTTCCTTTTCGTCCATCATTCTGGGGCTATTATTTGTTAAAGCCTTTTCCTTTTCTTGTTGATCCCCATCGAATACTTTTCAATTCATGATATAGTGTTTCTCTTTTCTATCCCTCACCCGAACAGGAGAATCCAATCATACACTCCAAACCGCTCACGGAGTGGAAAGTGGAAAGTCAAGTGGATTGAACTTACTCTACTAGATGAAAATGGCCCCTTCAAAGACGATGTTCCTCTTAAAAGCACCCAGTTTGTAGAGGATTTCATGGCCTTCCAAGGAGCAATCGTTCACTTCCATGTTAGTTCCAGGGAGTGTATAGTTATTTACAGTACTTCTTAGAGGAGGCTCCAGCCGTCCAATGTGTGAAAAAGACACGGCCAGGCTACTCCGCAAGCGATCTCCGTCGCGCGGGCATTGGACTCATCGAGCTGAGGTGACCTGGAGTGTGTCGGGCTTTGGGTGGTCAAAGCCAAGCTATTGACCCCATGGGAGTGACCTATATAATTTGCCTTTATTTGGGTAGCTGAAAAGGGGTCAACATAGGCAAATCTTCCAGTCCGGAGCCTCCGGCATTGAATGGGCTAAAGGACGAACATTTCAGTCTGCCATCATCTTGACAGCATGCTGCCTCCGCGCGTTGCGCCACGAGCTCCGGTCGTCACGAGCGCTGCTTGGCTTTCGCCACCTCCGCAGCCAGGAGCTCGGGCTTCAGCCTGGCCGAGCTCCGCACAGCCGGCTTCTCCTCGGAGGGCCTCCACGACGCCAACCGCCCCTTTGGGTGGAACGAACGAACGCCCGGACGGTCGGAACGAGAACGGGCGGCCTTGTTGGCCGGAGAAAGATCGGAGAAGGATCTGGGATGAGAACACATCTGAGATGGCCGATGTTTGAGGACAGAGGACCAAAGACTGACCGGTATTCCTGGGATTTGGTCGGAGGAGTAGTTCGGAATTTGACAAGAAGTTAGAAGACCATGCCTCGGAATGAGTAGAGCACTGATGAAATGTTTTATTGGATATCTGTTGAATTGCTTTGTGAGCGTTTTGTTTGTTTGGGAACTTTCCCATCAACAGCTGTGCGAATGGTTTGCTCAGACATTCCATGGGACTGGCATAGTTTCTTACATCGCGTTGTGTTGATGTTCACCATGTAGTACCCCTACCCTAGGGATCCAGTCGTACCTCCTTAGAAGGTACTTGGATCCTCCATACCTACATAACAGTGCCTCCAATCAACTTCTGAGAAGGTACTTGGATCCCTAAAGCTATGGATCCACTGGCACCTTTCTGAGGTACTGTGACGTGTTCGACTTTTCATGTAGGCTCATTCATCGGGTCCAGCCGTACCGAACCTGGATTCGGCGGCAGTGGATTTGTACCATCTTCCGGTCCGGAGTGTCTGGCACGACACGCCGCTCCGTGGATCGATCCTCGTGCTCGAAGACGGCCCTCGCCTTTCGGCGTTTGGCTGTGATTGCTTGGTTGCCCTTGAGTCAACGCCTTTCTGCCTGCACCATCCTGTCGTGTCCTGGCTGGAGATCCCGGATAGTAGTGCGGAGTAGTCCAGGCAGGACGTCCTGGTGGGAATATGTGTTATTCAGTTATTCTTCCCTGTTCCTCACGCAAATCCAAGTTGGACAGTCCGTGGGCCTCCTCCTAGTCCTAGCCCCATCGTCGGCCAAGACCTCCACATACCTGTCATACCCGCAAGGAACGATGCATGGCTGCTTGAGCGTGGGGGACTTCACTTTACTACCGCAGATTGCCAAAGGCGAGTGGCGAGTGGCTGCCAGGGCAGTTGATTTTTGGCGCTTAGGTCAGCATAGCTCTAAGGGGGTATTGCGGTATTGCAGTGGCTTCCTGAGTAGATGGCACTGGCACCCCTGCCCCTACATCTCCTTTAGGCAGGGGGTCCACATATATATATATTATATATATATATACATCCTCTTTTGAGGATTGTGCCATCGCTCTCCATCGACTACAATTAAGGGAATATTTGGGGATGTGCTTAGGGGATAGGCCAACTTCTCACTCATTCGCTGGAAAAGGGTTTGGGCGATCCGCGTGTGACGTACAGTTTGTGACGTCACGGATTCTGCTTCAGGTCTGCAACCAAGTGAAAAACACCTTCAAATCACGGACATCGCCCCGAATCTTTGAGGCTATGGCAGTCTCGATGATCTATGGTTCAGCGGTTAGGATTCAGCATGGCCCGAGTCAGGGGGCGGCTTGGGGACATGGCCAAGATGGTATGATGGTCCCTGGAATCACGTTGAATCGATCGAAACCCCCCACCTTCATGCTGCAAAGAACAGGCCACTAATCTTGAGGATGTTCTTGATCACGCACCGTACTAGTATCAGAGCTCAAGTCAGCAGTCAGGAAACCCACACGACCATGGGATGGCTACACCATGCTACGCCATGGGCGTATGCAACGAATATGATCGGCAACTGCCGAACACCGGGATGGTGGACAGTCTGTAAACACAGTTCTTTGGTCCAAAAACCATCCCTTCCATGCCATTCATAGCCCCGCAATGTGGGACCACTACAAGGGTCCCATGAGTGCCACTACCCCACAGGGTCTCAGGGCCAGCATGGTCGGGCCAAGGCCTCCCCTCCTTTTCCTGGTTTTGCTTATTCAGGTGATTGTTGACTTTCCCTATCCCAGACACTCCATATATGCCATATATGCCGATCAGTTGGGATGGTTTTGGGTGTCAATAGGGCGGCATATATGGCAGTCCCGTGGAGTGTTCGGGCATTGTGGATAAACCCCCTTCTCCCCGACACAACCCATGGGACTGCCATATATGCCGCCCCATTGACCCCTCAAACCACTCCAACTGATCGGCATATATGGCAGTCCCATGGAGTGTCTGGGTCTGGTGATTCTTCCTGGTTCCCGGGAGCCCGCAAATCCTGCTCAGTTGGGCGTCTCCAGCGATCGCCCGGTCCTGTGCGGCGTCCTTTTTGGGGGAAGGAACGGGTCCAGACTCTTGTCGCCAGATGGCAATCAAATGGGTGCATTGGAATGGGGAGATCCCTCAAAGACATCTGGCAAAGTGAAACACGGACCAAATCCATTGGTTGGGGTTCTGATTCTGACCCTCGTTAAACCGGGGAGGAGCAGTCTAGCGCTAGCCCTGACAAGTCGCAAAGCCAAAATCCATTGGTGGGGAGGTCCCCCCATTAAAATACAAACCCAAACGTTATGTCGCTGCGCGGTCACCTGCGCCGCAGGCACCTTGCAAAAGTGGAGCACCGCGAAATCGCAGGATTCGTATGCGGCTGGGTACAGCATACGCAGGGGGACGGGAGATGTGTTTTTCCCGAAGTAAGTAGCTGCATGTTTTTTACCATTAAGTGTTTGCTGCCGAAACTCAATTATATGGGGAGGGGTCGCGATGATCTCCGAAGGGAGCTCAGGAGCTGAGTGACTTGTCCATCGATGGTTGACATCGAATCCCGTGGCGAAAGGAATGTGGGGCCCATTGGGATATGCTGTTCTTGAAGACGCCATCCCATCTCGCTGAAGATGCCTCCCTCTAAATTCCACGGTGCCATACGGTGAAGGAGGTCATCTCCTGTCGCCTGCCGTCCTGCAGCGAAAGGAAAGAACGAACGCCCAAAAGTGCCCATATTATTCCCAGACACTCCATGTATGCCACATATGCCTACATTGGGGTGGTTTGAGGGGTCAATGTAGGTATATATGGCATACATGGAGTGTCTGGGATTTTTTGCTAGCAGCAGCGTTTTCGTGTTTTTTCTCCTTGGTATGTTTCAACGCATGTGACTAGAAGTCACTTCCAAGGCATCCTTTGTTCTTGGTTCTTGCCATAATCCCCCCACATGTCATCTGTGGAATGCCTGCCTTGACCCAACGAAGCTTCACCACCGTTGAGCATTCCGACGTTTGTTTCCCGGCCAAGTTCGTGTCCGCCAGGAGCTGCTGAATCTGCAGCGCCTCACCATGACGCCGCTGATTCGCGAGCACACCGACGGCCCACCCAAGCTCTCGCCCTTATGCCTCTCGGCAGAGATGGGTGAGGTCCCACACCGCAAAATAGATGTGCTTGACGGGCAGATGTGGACCGAAGAAATCTGAGAATAGTAAACAGGTTCCCCTGCAGTTTAGTGCGAAGGAGTAAGTTTTAATGTTTTTCCTCAGTTTAAAGCTTAAGCCCCCTACCATAGAGTAGAGGAGTTAAAGAGCCTCCCGGCCCCCTCTTGGTGAGACACCCTCTCCCACCTCTGACTACCTGACCTGCACGCGTGCGGGGAAGGTCAACAGAGGGGGGGGAGGGATACTCAGCCTGAGGGGTAAGACCGCGGAGCTGCAATGGCCTCCCGGTGGCGGAAAACCGGGGCCAGGGCCAGGCCTGAACACTACGAAGGCCTGGCTTCTGGAGTGGTAGTGGAGGCCGTCATGTATGACGACAAGTGCAGGCCCCAAGGACATGCGCTCCTGATCCTAGCTGCGAAGGAGATTGATGAAGCAGAAGAAGAGGGACAAGTGTGGGGGTGCCACTTCCTAAGCATCCAGGACGACTACTACACCTGGTGGCATCAAAATGAACACGGTCCCCTGAAAGAGGGGAGACTGCATCGGATACATCTTTGCGGACGCCCTTGCAAGACTTGCGGGGTCGAGACTCCGTTCCGCCAGGTGACACACATTGATGTGTATCGGATGCTTGAAGGGGATGGCCATGAACGGTTGAGCTGGTTGACACCTGAGGGGAAAGCAACTATGCATGAGATCCTGGAGGGACATACGCTAAGGAAGGGAGACTCCAAGAAGGATCACAAAAGCGAAGCCCGGCCCTGTGGTTCAGATGGAGTTGGGCTCACCCCTGTACTTCCTGGAGCGGAAGGCCTCACTGGACTTGCAGCGGCGTTGTCGGGAGGAGGAAAGGCGCCTGACGCAGAGTCTCCAGCGTCACCTCGGGAGAGCATTTCCGGGGGGGGCAGGGGAGGCAAAGCGTCGGCGTGCCAAGGAGAAAGGAGAAGAGTCGAGTTCGACCTACAGGGAGGAGTTGGACAAACGTGAGGGAGTGAAGAGCCGAGACAGTGCCCTTCGATTGAACAAGAAAAGGAGGAAGAAGAGGGGCAAGAAGGAAGGCAAAGGATCGAAGAGTAGCTCAAGTTCTTCTTCAGGCGAGGAGGTTTTTCGCGTAGCCTCTCTCCCGGAGGGGGTCGACCGTTTACGTCAAATCCATCAGGAGCAGCCAGGCCACCTGGCCAATTTGACATTGTTGAAGTATCAAGAACTTCTGGAGCGGTCGGCCGGGAGAGAGGCGGGAACAAAACATCACGAGATGTTCCCCCCATGTGCGAGGGCTTACCTCCATCAGTGGTTGGTTCCCCGGCGAAGTTCGTCACACTTCGGCATAAGAACTATGAAGGAGATGGAGACCATCATGACAGTCGTGGACCTCTTGGCAAGCAACGACATTCTGCGGGGACTCGACGTCTTGATTCAGCGGCAGAAGGCTATAGAGCTCGCAGCCGATCAGGGCAGCTGGGCACAGGCCCAATACCTCGAACTGACCCACGCGGACGAGGAGCACAGCTATTTCCGCCAAGAGCTAAAAGCTGTGCAGGCCGAGCGGAAAGCAGACCTGAAACTGCAGCAGATGGCCTGGGCCCCTCGGGGTTGGAAAGGAGAATGGAAGGGAGGCAAAGGTCAGCCAAAAGGAGACGGCGGCGGAGACGCAGTGGTGACCGATGGGACAGCCCCCTTGAACGACGTGGGAGATCCCGCAAAAGGGAAAGGCCGCGGGAAGAAAGGCCGGGGGAAATGGAAGAAGTGAAGCAAGATCAGAGGTTGCTTCCAGAGGTGCTCACCCCATTGGTGAACGAGATCATGGAAGGTGCAAGTGCTGACAGAAAGGATGTCAGGTCGCAAAGGGTGAAGGCCATCTTGGAGAGCAACTGCGGCAAAGAGCCGCTGGAGATTGCAAACATCCTGACACGGAAGTACCATGAGCTTTACAGTGAGAGTGCCCCTGATGAGATGGTTTGTGCCCCCGAAGGCTGTAGGAGTGATCACCATGTAGAGGGGCCGGAGGCCGGCCGTCATCACGGGGTGATCATTCGTTGGGTGTCGGGGGAGTGGCTGCAATGGCGCAGTGATGGAGGCATCTATGTGGGCGATGGATCCAAAAGGTTGACCGCAAGCCCGTTGGGGCAGGCAAATCGTGACCGACTGGACACCAGAGTGGCACGACGACTCTTAGAAGGTCGTCCACTCTACATTGATGAGGGTGACAGCTTGGAGATGGCTCAGAGCACGGTGGACTATTTCGGTCTGAGAGGCGGAACAGGGCAAGGACCACGGCATGGAGGGAGAGAATATTATCAGCAGGTTGAGGCGTTCCTGGAGGGAGCTATGACTACTCTTCAACTGGGGATCGTGCTCAAGGAGATGGTGAGAGTGCGACCCTCACTCCTTGGGACAGCAGTGATCCTGATGGAGCTGTGCGCAGTGGGGCCCTTGGGTAGTTCACAGCCCTTCCAGGAAGTGCTGCCATTGCCTTTGCCTGATGACACGGAGGCCGAGATTGAAGTTCGCCGGGTGCTTGAGAAGGTCAGATTGGGACAGCCGGAGGCTGGGAGCAAGGAATCCTTGGACAACTGGGTCCCAGTCGCGGGTGTGGATGCATGGGTTTGGCTCCAAGTAGTGCTGCTCAACTACATGTACATCGGGAAGGACAGGCTGCTGACGCAGACTTTGTTCCACTCCAAAACATTGCTTGAGTGCCAAGTTCCCGTGATGGAGAAGTTGAAGTGGAATGCGAGAACCTTTGGCAACTCAGGGGAATCTGTGAGGATAGGGCCTTGGCATGATGTGAGCGAACAACTTGGGGAGCTCTACACAGGGAAGGAGTGGCGGAAGTGCTACCCGCTGACGCTGAGAGCCATTGAGCCTTCAATCCCCAAAGCTGGGGAGGCTGCTCGTGTCGAGTTGGCGTCAGTGCTCCCGGAGCGCATCCGTGAGTACGCTGTCAACCCGGCGCTGGTGAGGCTGGATGACGATGAGGTGATCAATCCACGATACACTGCACCGGTTCATGTTGAAAGTCCTGCTGAATGGGACAAGATCGTGAAGTCCCTTGTGGTGGCCGGCATGTTTGAGGCAGAAGTCGAGGAGGAGACGGTGCGCCACAAGGGGAAGCCGGTGCTGAATGGAGCCTTTGGTGTCCACAAAGCATGGAAGCAAGAAGCTTCAGGGGAGTGGACAAGGTGCCTGCGATTGATCATAAATCTGATCCCGTCGAATGGTTTGCAAGGAAGATTCCCGGAGCGAGCCTCAACCCAGATGTCCTATGGGCCGCTCTTTGGACAGATGATTGTCCAAGAAGGGGAGGTGTCGCTGTTCTTTGCCGAGGACCAGAAGCATTGCTTCCACATTTATCGTCCTGGCTATGCCTGGCGTGGGTACTTCACCTTGAGCCGAAAGGCATCAGCCGAGGCATTTGGGCGATCAGGACCACCGCTGAGACCTCGAGTCTGTTCAGCTCCAATGGGATGGAAGAACATTGTTGACCTGATACAGGTTGTGCATGAGGAGATGGGAGCGGTAGCTGGAGTGCCCCCAAGTCACCTCCTCAGGCTCGGCCATCCGTTACCACATGGAGACCTGCTGACCCCAAGACAGTGGTTCAGCTTCTATGTGGACAACTTTGATCAAGTGATGGTTGTGAACGAGTCGGAGGTGGGCCGATATGAGGGAAAAGCTTCTGAAGTGCAGCTGCAGCTGAGGCAAGTCTATCATGAACACACGGTGGGCCGTGATCCGAAGAAAGCCGCAGAGGGCGTGCGGTCATGGCAGACCTTGGGCGCAGAGATGCTTGAGAACCACGTGGGATCCAACCTTGGGTTCCGGCGTGCCCTGATGGGAGCCACCCTGCATTTGATTCGAACCGAGGGAAGCATGAAGGTGAGCTTGAATGAGTTCATGACAACAGTCTCAAAGCATATGCATTCGTGCCAATACAACCGGACTACTGCTTGCCTGCTTGACCAGGTATACAAGTTCATCCACAATTATGGCAAGGGAGTGATTCCACATCAGGTGATTGATGAACTCTGGCTGCTGACCATGGCGCTCCCGATGCACTGGATGAACACCCAGTGTCAATTGGATGGACGAGTGTGGGCCACAGATGCCTCAGAGGAAGGTGGTGGAGCGTGCCATTCGGTGGGGCTATCCAAAGTGGGGGATGTACGCGCGCATCTTCTCGCACTGGATAGCCACTGCCAGGGCGGAGCTTTAGCAGATGAGATCCTGGTTGTTGAATTGTTCGGAGGGGCCGGAGGGCTCTCGAAGGCTTTGCAATTGCTAGGGGTGGTCCCCATGGGACTCATTTTTGTCGACCACAACCCGAAGGCCAGAAAACTTCAGAAAGGGCATCACCCACACAGTATGTTCTACAGCGACATCAAAGAGATCACCCGGGAGGATGTACTGAGGTGGAAAAGGACTTTCTGCCGAGCTCGACGGGTCCTAGTCTGCGGGGGCTGGCCATGCGTTGAGCAAAGCCGCTTGAAGAGCCAGCGCGAAGGTGCAGACAGCGAAATGGGGAGGCTGCTTGATGACACGCTGCAGATTGCGGGATGGCTGAAAGAAGCAAGTGAGCTCCCAAATGAACGGCCATGGAGTGTGATTGAACTATACGAGAACGTTTTCTTTGATGCCGCTGACGCGCGGATTGTCGGAGCGAAGATGCAAATGAGGCCTTTGAAGACGTGGGCGCATGAAGTTGGGTGGACGCGTCGTCCGAGGCAATTCTGGCTAAGAGGCTTGGCACTGATATCAGGGAAAGACCTCACCATAGAAGAAAAGAACGTTGGTGAGGAGGATGCCCATGCAGAAGTGCACTTTGAAGCATGTTGGCCTGCCCTTTGGAAATTCGTGGAGCCTGCCACCGCACGGCTTTGCGACACCGATGACCCCTTCCCATGTTTCACTCGGCCGATCAAACGGGAGCAGCCTCCACCGTCGCCTGCAGGCCTTGAACAGGCTTCTGAAAAAGCCCTTCGTCGGTGGAAAGGCGATGCGTACCGACTTCCTCCCTATGCATATGAAGATGCATGCCTTGTAAAGGACAAAGGTGGTCCTCGTCGGCTAAAGGCCATGGAGCAGGCGAGGATGCTGGGATACAACTCAGGGCACTTTCGGAACATGAAGCCAAAGCCCACTGAGGATGAAGTGGGTGGCTTCACAGGAAACAGTTTCCCTGTCATTGTGGTGGGCCGCTTGTTAATGGGATTGATCACACCATCCCCTCCTGACCAGCAGCAAAACTACGTGGAGCTCCTTTGGAAAGCATGGGATGCACACGAGGAGGTGGCACTGCAAAGCCAGAAAGCCACTGGGTGGACCGAACGCTTTGGAGCAACTGCTGGGACCTGGGAAGGGGCCAAAACCGTGCGAGATCTAATTGGGCAAAAGCAGCAACTACCTCGTCAGGAAGACCGCCAAGGGAGCAGGCTGACAAATGAACAGTTTTTGATCCTGCAATACTGCCGGATCATCGATCACAGAGGGTCGGATGTGCGATTCGAAGCTGGCCTCCCATATGCGCCGCATCTTTTTGCGCGCAGGCCCGTTGATCCTTCAGCTTGGATTTGGAAGGTCTTCCTGAGCTATAAGTGGAAGGAAACTGGACACATAAATGCCCTAGAGCTTGCAGCCGTCCTCGACTTGTGCCGAAAGCTGGCCCGAAAGAAGGAGGACCATGACAAACGGCGGTTGCTGCTAGTGGATAACCAGTCAGTGCTCTCAATCATCGCGCGAGGTCGAACTTCGAGTGCTCGAATGCAGGGACCTTTGACGCGACTCGCCGCCGTGCTGCTTGCCACTGGAATGACCTTGGTGTTGGGCTGGGTCCAATCCGCGCTGAATCCAGCGGATGGCCCAAGCCGGTGGCGCGGCAGAGCTTAGAGACCAATGCCGGACTTGCGACAAAAGGCGTCGCAGGCAGCAAGAAAGGCGAGGAGAGCCAGATTGGGAAAGTTGGCTGAACAGGTGGTTGCCCCAAAGACTTTAGCACGGTACAGGTTGCATGTTTATAAATTCATAGACTTTTTGATCGCGTTGGGTGTGAGTTATCCTTCGGGATTTATTGAATTAGACAACTTGGTATGCAGGTATGTTGAATCATTGTGGGAGTCCGGCGACCCCAAAGGATGGGCCTCAGATTGCCTGTCAGGACTTGGACATTTCATCCCACCTTGTAAACCATGGCTGGTGGGTGCATGGCGTTTGCACGCCGCGTGGGGCCGAGCGGAGCTGCCGTTACGTGCGGCTCCATTCACACCCCTGCTGGTGTACTCCTTGGCTGAACTGGCGCATCGGCGTCATTGGAATGACACTGCTGTGTTGTTGATTGTCGGTTTTTGCATGTTCCCACGGTCTGCTGAGCTCTTCTCCGCTTTGAAAGGTGACTTTGTGTTTGACCATAAAAGATCTGCAGTGTGGAGCCTGCCTTTAACTAAGTCAGGCCAGCGCACGGGCGCGAAAGAGTCCTTGGTCGTTCGTGACCGCTGGGTTGTCTCCCTTTTGCGATCATACCTTGAGCATTTGTCGCCTGGAGATAAGCTCACTAGAGTGTCTGGCCAGACTCAACGGAACCGTTTGAAAGTCCTCACAGAGGATGCCAATCTGGCTGGGAATTTTCAGTGGTACTCTTGCCGAAGGGGCGGGGCCACGCACATGTTTCGGATGACCGGCAACCTGTCCCAAGTGTGCCATGTTGGTCGCTGGAATAGCCCTAAGACGGCCCGCATATACATCTCAGACGCTGTCGCAGCATTGGCTGAGATAGACCTTGAGACCTCGCATAGGCGTAGGCTCACATTGTTGGCGGCTCATGCACGTCCAGACTGGGACACAATCTAAGCGCTGTAAAAGAGGGCTGTCCTGAAACAATTTGTGATCCCCCTCTTCCTTGGGGGGTCCCCCTTGCACGTGCCTCTTTCTCAGGTGGACAACCTCATGGGTTGTAAAAGGGGTACGGTGGATACCGGTATTTGGTTGCATCTGGACCTGTTATTGAACGGGCCAGG